TCATTTGGGAGCGACGCACTGTGTAAGAAATTCTGGTAAATACTTATTATCAAACTATTGATTGCACATGAGAATCCAGTTTGAAGTAATGTAGTTGCTGATGCTAGTGCCATGGTCCCACGATTCGATAAAAGTTGTTTTCTACAATATCAAAACTTCACAACTGTCGGGAAACTAAAAGGATAAAGTCTTCTGCTTTAATCAGACTCGTTTTCGGGATGCGCCACAGTATTCGACTTCCATTTGAATTGTGGTAAAGCTCTGAATTCGTACGTGAACCATCCATTGATCACGTACCGAACTGGTGTACAAGTCAGAGCATTTATCCTTCCAAACGAATTTGGTTCAATGAAAGTACCGTGGGGGTGGAAGGCTTGTTTGGCCTGAAAGGATATCGATCTGGAATCCGAACACGTGACCGACCGTGCATGTGTGATAGTGTCCCTTTACTACACCAACACGGCCACTGCTGTAGGAGTACATATAGGGGACGCGGTGGCGGAACTCACACGCCCGCCGCCATTCTTGGTTAGTTGTCTCGTCGCGCGGCGTGTCGTGACGCGGAACGACGACTATTGTATCCCACTGGAAATTCAAATATTTTTTCTTCATAGCGGGCTGCGAGCATGCGCGATTTTCGAAGAGGAGTTACCATACCCAGAAAAATTCAAATGTAGGGATCGTTTTGTGACCCCTGGTATACTAGGATAGGTCGGATGTCGGAAAATTCAATGAGGAAGGCTTGATTTTGTTAGTTTTGATTTTTTTTAGTCTATTGATCAATGTTTCTCCGTGGAGCTCGTAGTCAGAGAGTGATTTTGAACGTACAAAGCAAAACTGTTTTTGACATGAGTCTATACATAGGGATCAATTGCAAGTGCTCAGAAACCTCTCACCAAGGTCATGTTTTTCATTCTTTTCTTCATGGTTATACTCAAAATTGCTTGAGGAAAATGAACTTTACAGCCGAAATTCCTGTTTGCATTTTACAACTGGTTAATTACTATTCACACAAGTGTGGGGAGCTTCTTGATTGGACTAGTAATGGAAAGCGCCTGATCGCAAGACTCTCATAGGACGTGATTCTGCGCAGTTCTCCATGAAAACTTCTCTGACCTTCCTTGCATCCTGTCTACGAAGGAACTTTTTGCCAGTACCTCACAAGTTTTGGAACCCTTCAGGTCTCTTTCGAAACATTTTCCCTGAATGTTTGTGAATTTCTTGTTTCACAAGTCTCTCCGAGTTGACAGCTGAGATCAATTTTACCACAGACTCTTAAACACAAGTTTGATTTGGCTTGAGTGCGAGCAGAGGGGAGAGGGGATTGGAAATCCTATGAAAGTGCTCTGTAAGCCCGAAATCCGGCTTCAAACATCTAGCTCATTTTCAGATGAGAATGGAGATTTCTCCTTGCAAAATGACGTTACGGTTGAATTCCTATCAATATTCACCCACACCTTTCAAGCTTTTCCTTTCTTCGAAGTCGCTTGATTTGTACCAGCCTCGTCTGGGAGGATAAAACACTGGCGTATTACATTGGCAGGCCATCGCAAGTCATTGTACAGGCCAAATAGGAGTTCAAAGCGCTACTACAATTCTGAACGGGAGTCAAAACTCATGGCGCATACCAAAACGGTATTAATTGACGCCAAATTTTTATCCTTTACCAGTTATGTCCATTTTTGATTTTTGATTAAAAAACGATATTTTCTTGGAACTGTTTTCAGTTACCACTTAACAGTCTAGTAGCTTTACTTGATATATTAAAGTTTACTAGTTTCCTACCACTCAAGTACTCTGCCTATTGCTAGATGAGCGTCCATGCATCGCTGAATGCATTGTTCCAGAGTGTTCTTTTTGGATGTAATTATAACATACTGAGTGCGAGCCTGTTAATGGTGTGGCAGTGGATGATTGTACTTTTTTATACTTGAAAAGTTCCTGTTTGCGAAGTCGACTAACTAATTGCAGTAGCAAAATGTAAGAATTCGGAGTGGATCGTTGTTTCCGTGGTGTGCTACCCTTGGAATTCCTCCACCTCCAGAATTTTAGAGATATTACTTGTTCGAGAAGCATACGCCAAAAATTCCGTAATGATCCAGTTTTTTTTTTGTTTGGAAGTTTCCGTGGAATTACTGTATAAGGACACCCATACTTGTAAACCGTATAACATATCCGCTTCCTTTCCTTGCTTTCTCACTCTTTCAATGGCCGCATTGTTTTCCCGCAATCAACATTTTCTTATGAGCTCGAATACGGCCCCACCGCTATTGAAACTTGTCGAAACTACGTCCAGACTTAATGGCACATATCACGATAAAAATGGTTTATGAAATTTTTACCTGTGAAGGAAAGCACAGACGCTGTCGGGTCGAAAAGCGGCCTAGATAGGACGTAACAAGAGTCCCGAAACCGGATTAGCTGACATACACACCTGGAGGTGGACGAGTTCTCACAACACTGTGGAGGTTGTATAGGTTGTACCGTTCGCATCGGGACGCACCTGTTGCCCGCAGGCAGCTTACTGTAGCCTGCTGTACGCCATGACAGCTGGGACGCGCACATTCGGACAGCTCGTTTGAATGCTCCTTTCGAACAACCTTTGTCGTCGCATTCTCGCCTAACCTCTAAATTTACTACTTTTCAAAGCCCGCTATTTTACAGAATACGCCGAGTTCCGCGTTTCTATCATTCGTCTAATGTAAGACAAGTTAGCCCAAGATTAAAAAAGTTAAAGTTAGCCTTTAAAAAGTAATTTAATCATGATCAGAGTTTCCGCTACCTTATATAGCTCCTCAGTATGTATATTGATTGATGTATTCAGCACATCTTACAGTACATTGCATAGTAGAGTTATGTTTTTTGAAGGTTTTTCATGGAACCATGGATAGCACGACGCCGTCCGATCGCTCTATAAATGGACTCGTTGTTTTCCTTACATTATTCGTCTTTCTGGCTGGACTGACCTCTGGATTACTGGTATGCTTGGTGAAAATCTGGTGCGGACAGAAAAAGACATGCAGTCAGACACCACAAGAGGTTCGTTAATGATTTAGGTATTTGTTTCCTGCCGGGATAACTGGAATGTACTGAAATTGTTAGGATCGATCCATTTTCCCTTGTTGATCCGAACGCCCTAGCAGCGGCTCACTTTTTCCTTGACTGACGTCTATTCTGGGTGAACATGAAGGAGCTTAGCGTGTGGGAGGACTTTTCAAGCTCTTCGCCCTTTCCGCATTATTGCTTTGATCGCAATGTGCATGATGTGGGAATGGCAAAAACCTTGTTCTCGTCATAGTCTTTGGTTGCGAATGACGCCATTAAGCCCTAATTGCTGAATTTGCTCACAGAAGGGTTTTGAAGATGGTGCTTTTTGTTTACAGCAACGACAATCGGTTGCGGCATGTTCAATGCAAGATAGCGATTCTGATGACGATACACAACCGCCGATTCGGGCCCCAGCAGTACGACGATTTTGTGAGTAAATCTTTACTTATTACACCATACCTATGTAGTAGAAAAGGCAAGGTTTTCGGGTTGAGCAATCACTTTTTTGGAGTACGGCCACGCGTTCGACTTCCATTCAGAGCCGTCCAGGATTCTGATAGCGTATTCAGCTGAGACGGTGTGTGATGGGGTCAACTGATGTACACCTCAGTGCTCTCATCCCTTCATCCGAGCCTGTTACCAGCTGATCCCCCTTGTCGGATGGCTTAAGCTGGTATGGTCGCTAGATTCGATCCCTGGCCATAAACGTAGTACCGAGCATTTAGTTGAATACCGCCGGGTACACAAAGTTTTTGCTTTTGAACGGATGTGACACCTATTTAGGGATAAAAAGTCCGGCCAATTTGGGCAGCACTCAGGATCCGATCCTTAGGCAATACTTATTTTAACAGTCCCATATCCCTCAGCTCAGCCTCCATACTTATTGATAATTTGAACTTTCGAATGATTATCTAGGAAAGTTTCTGTCTAAATGAAAAAACTCCATTTTGCAGCTCAAAGAATTATTGCTCTCGTCCAGCGAGGACCAGAAAGGCGTCCAACTATTGAGGTGAGTAACCTGAGTTTCAGTGAACAGCTCGTATTAGAAATAGTTAATATTAATGTAATTGTCAAACAAAGTTCTGAGTTCGAATGCATGACAGAGGCTGCTGTGGCTGTCTTCGATACTTTTCATTTCGAGCTGCGCACCCCTCTGAAGTTGCGTTGCTGTAGTTATTTAGTAATTATTTAAATCTAATTTTTCTCTCATCACATAAAGTATGAAGTCTTTGGCATTTCTTGGGATGCGCCGCAGTATTCGACTTTCATTCGAAATAGTAGTGGCATCTCAAATGTGGATGTAGCCTTTACAGTGACTTGTCCTGGCCAGCAGTTGTAGAAGTCATTGCTTTCATCCTCTCAGACGGGTTTGGTACCATATAACGACCACGGAGGGATGGAAGGTAGCCCAGGCAGATTTTGTTAAGGGATTCGAACCAATCACCATGCGCGTGTGGTAGTGCGTCACTTGCCCCTACAATACCTTAGCCCCGGTGTCAAGAAATATTAGGTTGTAAGGAAAGTTCTGGCCGTTTTGGCAGCTAACTTTTCAAAAGTTATAACTCATCTCAAACTAAACATTTTTATTCAAAGTAAGCACCATTCGATTCCACACATTTTCGCCAACGTGATACAAGTCTGTTTATC